CCCCCTGCTTGTGTTCCCTCTCTTGCTGTGTCTCTCTCTGTCAAATAAATAAATAAAATCTTTAAAAAAAAAATAAAAGGGGGCTAGAGTATATAGCATTTCCCAAACATTTTTGTATTTGGGACCTTGTGTTCACCTAGCATCTTTAGAGACCACTGCATTTTGGGAAATGTATTCCTGGATTGACAGTGGGTGAGACCTGCCAGGAAAGATAGGAGAAGTAGAGAAAACAATACTTCTTCTAGGCCGACATCCCTACTCAACACTGTGGGTTTTTTCCTTTCTTACCATGATCTCATTAGAGCCTCGCGATAACTTTGGGGGGAGTTCAGGAAGCAAAGGGGAGAAAGAATTCTGTGTAGTGAGCACCTGCTGTATGCCAGATAGTTAGCAAGGCGCTGTAGGTCTGCCTTCTCGCTCAAAATGCCACACAGCCCTGGGAGGTGGAGATTGTTAATCCCACTTCACAGATGATGAAAGTAAGGCTCAGAGAGGTTAGCACACTTGTCAAGGTCTCAAAGCCTGTGGGTATTAAGATGAGGATAGCTAACATTCATTAAACACTCACTACATGTCAGGTACTGTGCTGGGCATTTATCTTGTGTTAACTTCATTCATCCTCATAATAGTCCTGTGATTATTATGAGGAGGGTGAGCCACAGAGAAGTTTAGGAACTTGCCCAGGATCATCCAGCCAGGAAGCAGCAGATCCAGAATTCATACCTGGGCAACGGACCCCCAGAGCCCTTCCCTAGAGACTCAGTTCTCCCCATTGCTCAGAAATCTCCTCTGTAGTCCTCCCCCAAAGCATGTTCATCTCACCCCAGGTGCCGGAACACTAGCCTGGTTTTAGGGAGTAGGGTTGGGAGCCAGGGATCTACCTCTGCCACCCTTTGCCTGGCTGCAGCTTCTACACCTCACCCCAGGCCTCCTTTCCTCCCATTCCAGACTGGCGGCCATCGCTCTGCTGGTCCTGGAGGAGGAGGAGAGCGCCTTCTGGTGTCTGGTGGCCATTGTGGAGACCATCATGCCGGCTGATTACTACAGCAAGACACTGACATCATCCCAGGTGAGCAGGGCAAGGACGGACGGGACTTAGGGGCCATGCAGGGTGGTGCCCCTTGAGTGGTTCCTTCAAGCCAGTGAATCTCAGAAGAATCAGGACGCTCTCAGGCCTCCATTTCTCCCTCTGTACAAGGGGCCAGTAACCTCTCCCTGGGACTCCTGGGAAGTTCTGGTGAGCTGATGGCCTTTAGAGTTGTGGGGGCCCTGCCCCTGGGGTAGATTGTTGTTATTCCAGTGGTGACACTATGTCATGAGAAATGGTTGGGGGGGGTTGTCTGTTTGGTTGGTTGGTTTTGGTTTTGTTCTTTTCAGAAATGGTTTCTTGGGGAGGGAAGGAGAATAAAATCTAGAATCTCTTGCTTTTTGCCAGTAAAGAATTTCAAAACAGAGGTCAGGTGGGTGGAAGTGGGACTCAGGGTGGGAGGTGGGGACGAGTCTTCACACAAGCTGGTCACGGCCTCCGGAGAAGCACAGCTGCCTGCACCCTCACCGCCTCGCCCCCCTCTCCCTCTGAGCCCCGGCCAGCCCTAGAGTCAGGCGCAGCTAGTCCAGAGCCCACCTCTCCCCCAGCCAGCTGCCTGGCCTTGCGGCATCCCCTCTCTGAACCTCTGGTTTGTCTGCTTTGGGATGGGAGTACTTCTGCTTGGGCTTGATGACAGATGTACACGCAAAACCATTTCTGACCTCCCATCTCCTCTCTTGCTTCACCCCTCATCCGGCTCCTGGTGCATCCGCGCTGTCTGCTTTATGCAGAGAGGCCATCTGGAGGGGACTTTCTCACTTCCCACCACAAACCTATCAAGTCATTTCCTGCCCACCCACTCTGTTCCTCTCCTTTCCTATCATGCCCAACACGAGAGAGATTGCCCAACACTGATGCCTCCTGTGGGACACCCACCTGGGCGGGGAGGTCAGCAGACAAGTGGGTGTCCCATGTGAAGGAGGGAGGTCAGGGCCAGAGATCAAGACTGAGGAGTCGTCAGGGAATAGGTGATGAGTCAGGAAGGGCGGCCCAACCTCACAGTGGCTCAAGGGGCGGCTCATTTTTCCCAGAGAATGACAAAGCTGAAGTCCCCTTAAGCTCTCTGCTCTGCCATCCCTCACATATTGCTGTCAGCCCCCTGCTCATGGTCACAGGACAGCCATACCACCTCCGGCACTGTGGCCGTGGTCGAGGCTGGAAGAAGCAGAGGGTGCAAGGCAGGGGCTGGCTCTGCCTCCCACAGCTTTCCCGCCCAGCAGGTGCTGCTTACACCTTATTGGTCAGAACTGTGTCACATGGCACCCCCTCACTGCAAGGCAGGCTGGGAAATGTTCCGTATTTTATTGTCATGCTTTAACATCTCCGAAACTGAGGTGTGTTGTAAAACCAGTGTATTGTTGTGGGGTTGTTGGAGGTTTTTTTCCTCATTTTTAATATAGAAAATTTTGAATGTACAAAAAATAGAGAAAATAGTATATGAACCTCCATGTATCTATCACCCAGTTTGAATTATCAACACAGGCACCCAACTGCTGTTCCATCTCTATCCCACCCACTCCTCCTGCTTTGGTGATCTTGAAATAAATCCCAGACATCACGTCAGTAAATCTGTGACTCTTTCAGCAGGTTCGGTGACATCTTAGGTTCAATGAGTTACCCTCGGTCTTGAGCTGGATGCACTGAGCATCTTTTATGTCAGGTCCAAAGTGGATATAGAGAAGTGGCCATGGTGTCGGTGGATACAAGTTCAACTCCTGCTTGGCTTCGGGTTCAGGAGGACAAATGGGCCAAAACACCACTGGCTAAGAACTTAGCCTACAGAGGCCTCCACACCAGAGCCCAGTGCTCCAGCCCAGAAGACTGCTGGTCTGTGCTGTCTCCTGGCCATGGGAGGCTTTGGCTCCTCCAGGCACTCCGTGCTCCCCGGGGCCAGGGGTGGGGGGGTTGGGGGTTGACTCTGGGACTGTGTGTGGACGGGCTGGGTGGGAAGGGCAGGCAGGGAGGGAGGCAGCCCCTTCTCTAGGGTGGCGGCTAACAAGCCCTCTCTCCCTGGCTCCCAGGTGGACCAGCGGGTGCTCCAGGACCTCCTCTTGGAGAAGCTGCCCAGGTTGATGGCTCACCTGGGGCACCACCGTGTGGATCTCTCCTTCATCACCTTCAACTGGTTCCTCGTGGTCTTTGCAGACAGTCTCATCAGCAACATCCTTCTCCGGGTCTGGGACGCCTTCCTCTATGAGGGTACCAAGGTAGGGCACCATCAGGGGTGAGCAGGACAGTCCTGAGCAAGGCCCTGCAGCCCTCTGGGTCTCGCTTCTGCCCCTGGAGAATGGGAAGACAGTGCTCCCCTGTCAGGGCTTTGAGGACCTCTCATGGGAGCATGGCTTTGTAAACTAAAGTGCTTTGCACATGTGAGGAGAAGGGGTGGTTCTGCCTCTGAAGATGTGTCTTAAAGTTGGGGGGATTTCCTTTCCCTAGGGAAGAGGCATGACTGTGATCCAGGAAGCCCATCCCTATTCCCTCCGCTGCCCATCCAGTCACTTGGGCCCCTGCTTCTCTTCATGTTTGGACTGAGCCCCATATTGGGAGGCTGGCACATGGGTGTGTGGTCCCCCTTTGCCCCTTGCCTTTCTAGGAGACCCTGGGCAGACCTCCCTGTGACCTCCACCCCAGTTTCCCCATGGTGGTTGATAACGTACCACAGTTTGCAGAGCACCTTCGGATCTGTTATTCCATTTGATTCCTACTGATGCCTCATGTAAACAGTATTACCCCCATTAGGTCCAACATGGTAGCACCTCACCCAGGGCCCCGGGACAAGTGAGGACAGAGCCAGGACTGTGCCCAGGTCCCCATGCCCAGGTTCCACACTGGGCTCCCTCCCCCTGGGGTTTCCCTGTCTGCCTCTGCCCCTCGGCCTCCCCACACTCAAGCTGTCAACCTCTGCAGCCTGTCCTGGGGGCATCAGGGAGTCCAACACCAAACCTGCCGAAGGATTCACAGATTTCCTGACGTGTTGTCTGGGATTTATTTCAAGATCACCAAAGCAGGAGGAGTGGGGGGGATAGAGATGGAACAGCAGTTGGGTGCCTGTGGGGGTTTTCCTCCCCCTGGGGATTACCTGCCCTGGCCCCCCGTGCCCCACCTGAGCCCCCACTTTGCCCCCCAGGTGGTATTCCGCTATGCCTTGGCCATTTTCAAGTACAACGAGGAGGCGATCCTGAGGCTGCAGGATGGCCTGGAGATCTACCAGTACCTGCGCTTCTTCACCAAGACCATTTGCAACAGCCAGTGAGAACCCACTTCTGCCCCTACCCTGCCTGGCCAGCACTCCCACCACCCACACATGCCCCAGGACACATAGCAGAGGATAGGCAGGTGTTTGCTGAGTGGAGATTTGTTAGTGATGCTGATCCTCCATTACAGCTTAGAAATCTTTAGGGACATTCCACTGCCCCAGTGGTCTGTCTGCCCCTTACCATGGTATTCAAGGCCCCTATGCAATTTTGTTTCTTTCCCACTTTTTCCTGCCCCTAACACCCATGCCCTGTCGTCCTGCCAAATAATTATTTGAGTTCCTAGCTCAACACCAACCTCTGAGATTTTGGCCTTGCAGTTTCTTCTACTTAGAATGCCTCCCTGTCACCTCCACCACTGCCATCTTTGCCTGGCCAACCCTACTTATTCTTCAAAACTCCGCTCACATGTCACCTCTTCCAAGAAGCCTTCCATGATAAACCTTTCCTTACGGAGTTAGAGCTCCCATAGCCCTAAGCTTCTTCCTGCCTCAGTATACATCACTTTGGGTGAAAGTTGTCTTCTTATTCACTGTTTCCTTCCTGGAAGGTGAGCTGCCCATGGGCAGGGGCCAGGGCCTCAGCCACATGGACAGAATGAATGGCAGGGTGCCCCGGAAGGCCCAGTGAATGTAGACCCAGTGGGGCCCTGGCTTTGGGCTAACTGTGCTCTCCCCCCAGGAAGCTGATGAACATCGCCTTCAACGACATGAACCCCTTCCCTATGAAGCAGCTGCGGCAGCTGCGGACGGCCCACCGGGAGCGGCTGCAGGCTGAGCTGCATGAGCTGGAGCAGCTGAAGGCTGAGTACTTGGAGACTCGGAACTCCCAAGGCCCAGCGGTGCCAGAGGGTTGCACCAGTGAGGATGAGGGGGAGGGGGATGCCTGACTTGGCCACCTGCCCTCCCCAAAGCCCTTTCTCCCCTTTGGCTGTCAGGCCCCCAGGAGGATGGCCGTGGAACAGTGGTCCAGCCAGTGAGCCACAGCACCGCGTGTCGCTGGGCAAGTCCCTTCCCCTCTCTGGGCCTCAGTCTCCCCATCAGAACATTGTCTGCTGTGAAGCCCTTGTTTGGGACTCATAAGCACATACCCAGGGATGCCACCCCTTTCTCACTTCTCCCACAGAGCACTTTAGCACACAGACAAGCAAGAATGCTGACTTACTGGGTAACCTGAACATTCTTTAAGTTTTATCTGTATAAAACAATGTAAATATTGGAAATAGTTGACAGGCTTTGGAACTTGAATGATTCCCAGTAACCAGCTCCTCCTGGGTGGGCCCAGGGCTCCAGGGTGTCCCATCACTGGGGCCTTCCCAGCCTGGGACATCCCTGGGTTCTGCTTCTGTGGGCGTCTCTGCAGGGCCTGCCGCCCTCCTGGTTTCCTGAGGAGCGAGGGCCCTGTGCATTTGGGGTGTGTCTTCCTGGGCCACAGCACCTCTCCAGCGCTGGTTCTGCTTCCATCCCAGGCCCAGCTCCCATCTACTGAGGCCTGTTTCCTGAGCCTTGCACCTATGCCCGCCTTTCCATTCACAGCCCGTTTGGGGGAAGGGGTTCCGAGGAAAAGCCCTGCCCACACCAAGAGAGCCCTGGGTCAGGCGCCCGACGCCTGATCTCGCTCTGCCAGCCTCATGGGCCCAGGCAAGAAGAGTCCCCTCCTCTCTGAAAAATGGGCAGCTGGAGGGTGAGGAAAAGGTGGTGAGAGGGACAAAGCTACAGCCTGTCGCCAAGTCAGGGCCGGCTCTTCTGGCACCCACTGTGTGCAGGAGCTCAGTTTCAGTTCTTCTGGGCTCTTCTGGGCCCTTCCTCAGCAGTCAGAGCCGCCCGCCCCCGCTCCCCCAAACGCAGGGGGTCAAGGCTGCGTAAGTGATTTTGGTCGCTCATTTCTCAGCAAGCCCTTGACTGTCGGTATAGGCTCACGCTGGGTAGTCTTTGGTAGGCAGGACTAGGGGTGCGGGATTCAGGCACGGAGACTTCCCGCTCTGATCTGAGGTTCCTGTCCACGGCTGGGAAGGAAGCCACACCTGTCACTGGGGACTGGCCTGCTCGCCCACGAGTGTGAACTCTGAGGGGTTGGCACCCCAGGCACCCAGTTCCCCGACACTGTGCCCCCTACACAGCTCTGGGGAAGAGACGTGCAGAGTTCTGTCCTCCCACGTGACAGGGGCTGCTGGCTGGCCCCAGGGCCCCGGGTCTGCCGTGAGCACCCCAAATAGGGTCTTGACGACCTTCCTCCTTTTTGCCAAACTTACATCTGCTGAGATCCTTTCACCACTAAATGGCATCTGTGAGGCTGATGGTGGCCTGCGGGGGTCCTAGGGGCACCCCCAACAGGCTGGGTGCTGCACCCCTAAGGGCATCATTGAGGAGACAAGGGGGCCGGCCTCCTGGAGCTCCCAGGAGGGCTAAAGGACAGGACGCTGGTGCCTGGCACAAAGTGAAGCACCACCACTGGCCGGGAGTGGCCTTTTTATGGAGAAAAGTCACCCAGAGGCTTCGGAAAGGCCCAAGGCTCCAGGACAGATGACGGAGCTGGAGCTTCAGCTCCAGCCTTGAAATTCAAACTCCCTCCTCAGCAAAAAATAAACAATCCCAGATCAGACAGAGGCTGTCAAGATACATGACACCCCCCTCTCCCTTCTTCCCTTCCTATCTCTCCCCTGCTTCCTCTCCTCGTCCTGCTTCTTTCCTCTCTTTCCTCCCTCTCCTCCTTCCCCTCCTCCTCCTGCCCGTTCTCCTCACCCTTCTTCCTTTCTCCCTCTTCCCTCTTCCCTCTTCCTCATCTCCCCTCCCCACCCCCAGGCTGAGAAGAAGCTCTGCCCACAGCTCGGTGCCTCCACCTTGCCCCTCCTGGACTAGGGGAAGGGGTGGTGCTTTGCCGTTGACCCAGCAATGTAACCTCTGCTTTGTACCTGGCTGCACCACAGAATCACCTAAGCAGCTTTTAAAGAGTATCGGTGCTGTGTGCCACACAGAGCCTGTTGTGGGGCATGGGCATCCTGATACACCAGGAGGGTTGGAGACCACAGGACTGACCCTGGTCTGGCTTCCTCCAGCCCTGAAATGAAATGCTGGAGCTGGAGCCAGGAATGAGAATGGCCTGTCCTAGAGCACTGCTCACTCCATGCCGCGCTCAATTTAGAAACAAGAAGATGAAGCCTCAGAGAGGTTAACTAACTTGCCCAAAGCCACACAGCCGCTGAGTGGTTAAGCCATGCTTAAGCCTTAGAGATGCTAACGATAAGACCAGGGAGGGTTCATTCCAGCTCACCTCAACTTCTCGGGAGCCTAAAACACCAAAGGGTCCAGGGGAAAGAACAAGCCTGGCCTATAGCTTCCTGAGTGATGTAGGGCCCCATGGGAGAGCTCCCGGCAAAGGAAAATAGAAGAACCATCCACCTGACAGGGAGGCTGTAACAGGGACTGATGGAAGTGGGGGTGTCACACCTCAAGAAGGTCTGTAGCTGCTGCTGCCTCCCCTCCCTCCCCCTTCTTCCCCAAAGGCGTTGGGGGCCCACCCCTGGTGTCAGATTCCTGGCCCTGCACCACAGCTGTTGCCCCCCATCCCTAGGGGCTGCTGCCTTCTAGGGCTGGAGGATCTGATCCCTCACAGCCCCACCCTCCTACCCCAGGGGATGGGACCTCTCAGCTCAAAGCGTCTCTCTCTCTCTCAGACACTGGGCCCCCAGCAAGCTGCCATCCCTCCTGCACTGGATAGGGGAGGGGACAGGAGTTGCCCAGGGAACCTCCCTGGGGCAATATCCCCAAGAATAAAGGGACTCCTCAAAGGAGGAGGAAGGACCTGGAGGGAAGACTCCCCCATCTCCGCCCCAAAGTGGGAGGTGCACACTGACTTCTACAGAATGCCTGTACTTGGCTAACGTCCCCCACGCTCCGAACCTCACCCCCCAGGCACTGCCGTTCCCTCATTCTTAGTTCAGTCTCCCAGCGCACGGCCATATTGCCCAGAAAGCTCCATGTTGGGCAGGTAGATGAAGAATTTGCCACCCTTTCTCGCACACATTCTGGTCCTGCACAAGGCATTGGCCCACACGTGGCAGATTAAACAAAGCTGGCCATGTTGACACATAGGGAAGGACGGGTATGGTGGTTTCCTGGCCTGTCCCAATCAACCAAGACCCAATATAAGATGCTGGCAGATGGGCCCAACTTTGAGGCCACACCGATTTTGTGGTTTTCTAACTAGGGACCCCTGGGCAGGTCATCCCTGCTCTGGCCTCAGAATGTGTGCAATTCATAGGATGGTTATGGGGGGTGGACCGGCATTAGGAGGAGAGATTAGGGTCCTTGTTCTAATCTCAAAAAGACCTTCCTCAAAAGGATCAGGATTAGGAGGAGAGATTAGGGTCCTTGTTCTAATCTCAAAAAGACCTTCCTCAAAAGGATCAGGATTAGGAGGAGAGATTAGGGTCCTTGTTCTAATCTCCCCCCCACACACACACACAGGTGTACAGGCATGCACATATGCAGCATCCCCAGAAAGGGTCCTGGATTGTGTCTACTGCAGAGGCCTCCAGTGACCTCCCAATAGTCCATATACCCATGGCCCCCAGAGGTTCCTGCCAAACCCGTCTTTCCCCAAAACAGTCCCAGCCACCCACCACCATGGTGCAGGGGGGCAAAGATGCAGACACAAGGCTGAGAAGGCACATCCTCGGGGCATGTAGGAAGGCTTCCTGGGGAGGTGATGAACCTGGAAGGAAGGACACCTTGGTTTAGAAAGACGGAGATGCTGTAGGAAGAGACTTCCTGGCAGAGCAGAGCATGTGCACAAAGGCACAGAGGTGCGAGTGTGTGGGGGTTGGGGGGACACACCCCAGATACTGGCCCAAGCCCTAGGTGAATTAGGGCATTCAGATGCCTTAGCCTTGGAAAGGTGGTGGTGTCCACCCCCAGGAGTAATTAAAAATAAAGGCAATATTGAGCCATAAGTATAAGGAACTCCCACAACATTCTGATTTCTCCATATGCTTTTCTGAAACATCAAATATCCGACTCATGTTGATATCTGAAGCTCAAATTCAGTCTGAGCAGTGTGTGGGGGGTGGTGGTGAAGGGGGCTTTGAAGGCCACACACAGTGGGGATGGGGAGTGGGGAGCGGACTCTGAGTGGGGAGTGGCCCAGTGAACAGTGAATGAGTTGCAGGCTTTGGCCCTGGCTATTCTTTCCAAGGAGATACTCAAGAGCCCCCACTTACTTAGCCACTCTAAGTCTCAATCTTCTAACCTGTAAAATGGGGGTAATAATAGCTAAATAAAAGGGCCACTAGAATTAAATGAAATAATATATATGAAGTACATAGTATGCTCTGTTATTCACTCAAAATTGAGCTGGCTAGTGTTCTAGGTGCTCTGAGATACACAACTGAACAAAACAAAGAGCTCTTCTCAAGAGGGGTGGTGTGGTGAAGTGGCTCCGAGCTTGGGCTTGGGAGCCGTGCTGCTTGGGGTTGATGACTAGCTGTGTGATCTTAAGCGAGGTGCTTAAAGTGTGTGTGCCTCAGCTTTCTTATTTGTAAAATACGTAATAGTGTAACCTCACAGGCTTGTGTGACGGTAAAGTGAGTTAATGCATTTAAGGTGCCTAGAACAGTGCCTGGCTCACTAAGTGTGAGGTGGTAGTTTTATTAAAAGGAGGGGCCTCCGCATCTCCTCCCATTGCCTAGTGTGCTCAGGACCCCAGAGCCGGCGAGACCGGGCGGCAGCGCCCCCTCCTGGCTGCCGAGAGAACGGAGTCCTCCCGTTACTGAGCCGCCCTCCCTGCTCTTTTCCTCCCCGCCGACTAGAAGCCTCAAGAATTTGTCTACCAGCCGGGTTTACCAGGCGCCACCCCCGTGGTGGGCTCTGCGCGCGCACTTTGCCGGGCCGGTAAATTAAGTCGTCTCCTCTAATTCTCAAACAGCTCTCGGACGCAGAAACAGTTACTGTTTCCATTTCGCCAAGGGGGAAACGGAGGCTCGGGAGGTCGAGTTCCTTGCCCCGTGGCACGCCTCGAGGGAGCGGCGGGTCCGCCTGTCCCCAGCCTCCGCTCGGTCGCCGGGCAGCCCGCCCCAATCACTGCGGCGTGTGCGCGCCGGTGTGCGCGCCTGTTCTGTGCGCGTGCGCGCGCCCGGAGACGGGTCCCGGGGGCCAGGAGCGCGGTCGGGAGGGTGGGGAAGGAGGGG